GGAAATTTCTTGTGAATTTTAAAAATATATAGAAAAATTACTTGCGAATTTTAAAAATTACAGAAAAATTTCTTGCAGATTTTAAAAATTGAAGAAAAATTGCCTGCAGGTTTTTTTTGGAGATTTTTCTACAGAAAAATTTTCTACAAAATTTTTCCTAGGAAAAGTCGCATGAATTTTTGTTGCAAAATAAAATCAATTAAAAGCAAGTATCCACGAAAAAATTACCAATGAATAAAATTTTACAGAAAAAAAAATTCATAAGAAACAAAGTTCTCACAAATTGTACAGGAACGACCCTATCAGCCACATGATACGGCACGTACACCCTATCGACCACCAAGACGGCCGAGACAAAGACAATTGATGCACTAGTCTCGGCCATCTCGACCACCGAGACAAACGAAGCATAAGAACTTCCACAGCTAGGTCGACACGACCCTCAGACACAGTAGTAGCCATGATAACGAACTTGCGAGATCATCAAATGCTTAACCAAGGTAGCGTGACTTGTTGGCCCTCTTAGCGACGTCTCGGCTCGACGAGAGGCCAAGACACAAGAAGACAACCTCAGTCGTACACACCTCGGCTCGGCTAATGGCCGAAACGGCTGAACGCAACGATTAAGACGACAACCATGATTAACAAAGAGAAACACATGATTAGGACGTAATCAGCCAATTAGCACCGTATTACCTAATTTGGTAAGTGTCAGAAGAGGCCCACCATGCTCAAGGCCTATCATGACTAGTATAAATAGGTTACATAAAACGAGGTACGCACTGTTCATTTATTATCATCGAGATTCGTGTTTATCCTGACTTGAGTGTCGGAGTGCCTTTTGCAGGTACCTCCCCCCTTTGAAGCATCTGCCCGAAGCTCTCGTTCGACCCTCAGATTACTAGAAGATTACGAGTGTGTCCTTAGACAGGTACACAAATATTTGGACAAAATTTGCAAGAAATTTTCCATATAATGGAGAAAATTCTAGTAGTATTATATTAAGAACTAAAGAAAAATTTAATTTATTATTTATAAGAGTTAATCACCTATACATGGCCAATGTAAAGTTTTTTACACTGACAACCAATCAGATCTGTTAATAGTGCCTTTTTATTTTAATTTAATTAAATGAGCAAATGACATGGCACTATTAACATATTTGATTGGTTGCCAGTGTAAAAAAACTTTACACTAGTAGTGTATAGGTGATTAACTCTATTTATAATTAGGACAAGAAATAGCATAAATTTGAAAGAGAATATTATTAAGTATAATACAAAATTACAAAATTTTATTATTTTTAATAAATTTTAACCGTTAAATGAGAATTTGATAAAAAAATAATTTATCCCTCCTTTTTCAAATTAGACATTCATCATAACATAGACATATAATTAATTGAGATTTTATCGAGTTAAAGGAGATTCAATTAAGCAAGTCAAGTCTGTTTAGTCTATTAATTACAGTGTCTTCCATCATAAACATAAAAGAAGATGATTAATTAAAATTTATGAAGAATCGTTGTTACCTTGTCTATGAAAGGGGCAACGCACATGGTTGAGCAAGTAATAAAAAAAATACCACTGAAACTATGACAGCTTCAGTGCTAGGATATTTTGTTTCAGGAGAATCATTCCATTTTATGTTGCAATTTTGTCTTGCTAACGACTACATCTATTTTCTTTTTTAATAGTCGTAAAATATTGTTATACACAAATAAAAAAATTAACATAATAAATTTTTATGTTTTCTATCAAATGATTGTTACATTTTTTTTTATTATAATCTCTTTCATTTGTATTCAATAACAAATGCATATAAGTTAAAATTAAATGAGATGTAAAAAAAAAAATATTAATGTAATAGTTCTTCATGGTTATTTGTTTTTCATTTTTATGTAATATTATAATTGATAAAAAAAAAGGATGTCTTAAACTTTGAAAATGACTAGTAATATAAACAAAATTTATTACAAAAATGAAAATAAAAAAGAAATAGAGAAAATAATTATGGTAATTAATTTTCTAAGTACGATAATGTGTATATAAATAAGGATAGAAAACGAGTCAATTTTGATTTGTTCAGATCTGTCTCATCATCAACTTGTTAAAAATAGGTCAGGCCGGTAGATATGTCTAAGGATGGGTTAACTGCTAGATATGTCTAAGGATGGGTTGACAGGTCAATAGGCCCACCAAATATATTAAAAAAAATATATATTTATTTTAAATATCTCTTCTAATATATTTCTTTCTTAATATTTAAAGGAGTTACATAAATTAGTGTATTTAAATAATAAAATAAATCTCAAATCACAATAGATTTTGTTTGATTTCTTGCATAATAAATCTCAAATCTGTTGCATAATAAAATAAATATGTAATTATAATATTAATAATTCTTTCAACATATTTGTTGCATAACAAATCCCAAACAACATATAATATAATAAATTAAATGTATAATAGATTTGTTGTATAACAAGTCACAAATTATATACATAATAAATTTATTGTATGAGAAGTCACAACTTATACACATAATAAATTTGATTTGATTTAATTAAACTTAAGATTAAAATTAATAAATAAAATTTGCGCAAAATCGATGGATAAATCTCTCAATTGATTCAATGAATTGAGAGGTTAGATAGGTCGTACTTGAATGCCTAATCCAGTTCACTAATTTTTTGTGAGGCTGCGGACTATAGCTTATTTTCCAATCCGTATATAAAGTGTTTCACAAAAATAAACACTCCTTAATTTCTTTATTATATTTTTTTTGTAGTTTTAGTTTCTTTTTTTTTTCTCTCGTTGAATTTCAAAGTCCAATGAATAATTTTTTCCCCTAATTACATCTATATTTCATAAACATTTTATTTATATATTTTTTTATTTTTCACAAAGCAAAATAATAGAGTTAAAATAATTTGATATAAATAAGAGTTTTTAATCTATGTTTAAATCTATTAAACATTTCTTAATTCATATACATTAACTAAAAATAACTAAATATTAGAGATGGAGGTAGTAAGAACTTATTTCACTATTTCATTAGTTTATTTGACCAAAATAGAATTATTTAGTAAATGGACTTATTTTACCAACTTGCAATAATTTTTTTTTTATGTTATTACATGTAGCATGAGTTTATGATCACCTTTTATAATATTATCTTTAATATTTACTTATATTTTTCTTTTACTTTTCTTATATTCAAAAACCGTTTAAAATTATATATAATTCTATTTATATTATCTCATTTAATTTAATTATAATATTTTAAAATTAAAAATATTATCCTAATTTTTAAAATAATTTAAAAGTGATAATTATTTAAAAATGTACATAATTAGAAAATTTAAAATTACAACTATTTAATTAAATATACACGAAAGAGTTTGATGAATAAAGGATTGGGCCGTAAAAATATCAGTCCATATACAAACGAAATAACACAAGTTTAATGGGAGCGGATTGAGCCGCCACTAGCCCATTATAATTGTGGATTGTCCACTATGATTCCATTCTTCCTTTATCGTTTTACAATGATAATTAGTTTAACACATAGAGAGCTAATTTCCTTTTGCTGAATATTAAAAGATAACACTCATAATGGGTTTTGGATGAGGAATTTTAAAATTTATTAGTTTTAAAATTTTAATATTTATAAAATTGACTAATATTTAGTTCTATAAAATTTAATCTTAAGAATTTAGTTTTATTTACGACAAAAAATAAATTATCTTATCCAAATTAAAAATTTAAAAATTTAAATTAACATCTTCAAGTAAAATACTTAAAAAAATAGTAGAAAATAAAATTAAAATAATTTAAAATTTAAAAATTTTAAATTTATTAAATTTTTCATTCAAATACGTAGAGATAAAAATTTCCAATTGATATCCAAAAATTAATGGTTGAACTTCAAGGTAACAGGGGAGAGTGATTGGGGTATGGCTCTCTGGATTTGAAAGTGTATGTAAGAAAGAGATATTGGAATCCGAATTTGATAATTGATGCAAAGATTGCTCTATAGTTCTTTCAATTAATCGTGTTTAATATTTTGTGGGTACATGTATAGTTATTTAGTGAGTGGTTCTGTGCTTACTTGAGAACTAATATTTTAGCGTGTATTAAATATTTATTATCATATATAAATAAATAAATAAATTTCAATATATAAATCCTAATCTCAAATCCTTTTAAACCAATGAGACTTAACTTGGTTGAATAAGTAAAACTTTGGGATAAGGTTCGATAAATTAAAAAAAAAAAAAAAAATCTTATAAACCATTCAATTTTTTACTAATTTGTTTAACTTGAGAAGTCATTTCTTATATCAAATCAATTATAAATCCCCAACCTGTTTGAATTATAAAAAAAAAAGGTTTTAATTAGAAAATGATTAATGAGAGGATCAAGTTCATGTAATTTTCAAAATAAAGGGACTTGATTTACTAAGAATGGTAGGCTAAAATGGCACACAAACTAAATTAAAGGGATGAAATGTCAAATTAAAACATTCATTTATATTTAAAGCTTTCAAACACTTATGATTTGACTTTTTATTCTTAATTTAAACTACTCAATTAATAATTTCCTTTGTTAATTGTTAGAGCAAAATAATGTGTTTACATTGTTTAAGTTTGGATTGACGAAATGATTAAACATTCTGTGTTAACATGAAATAAGAATGATCTATTTAATAAAAAAAATTTCATATTCAATTTTAGTTATGTGAAAAAAAAATATATTTAGACTAACAATAGTTACACTACTATAAATAAAAATTAAAAAAAAAAAAAAGATTAATCCCAATGAGCTAGAAGATACCCATGTTGAAAAAAAAAATAATAATAATCTGTGTGTAGTTTGAAATTTGAATAGAGAAGTTACATTTTAGGTGAATGTTGAAAATAAATGCCAAAACCAGAACTATGTTTATGATTGAGCAAATGTTCCGAATGGCTATCAGTACACTAGTAAGTCATAATCATAGCGAAACATGATACTATCTATTACTTAATCTTCGACTCTTATAATGGAAAGCAACACCAGATGAAATCAATTTAGCTTCATCCACCATGAAGCATGATATGCATGTATATACTTTTCACTCTCCCCTTTAATCAAAAACCAATACATTAACTTAGATCTTAACACCAATATTAACAAGAGCACGAAGACAATTTCTTCATCTCACTGATTTCCAATTCAGTACCCAAGAGTACATCAACCTTTGTTCCTTTGAGTGAGGTAACATTATTGTCACCATTCTCCTTCCCATTACCACATTCCAAAGCTTTTTTGGACACTACCCTGTTGATCTCTTCTAGCAACTTGAGAAATGCACTCTCCACGTTGTCACCACTGAGAGCTGAAGTCTCAGAGAAGAATAGGCCCTGGTCCTCAGCAAACTCCACTGCATCTTCAGTTAGCACCATTCTCAGGTCCACAAGATCAGCTTTGTTCCCAACCAACATGATCACAATGGAGCTATCTGCGTGTGCACGCAGTTCCTCAACCCACCTAGCAACATGATCAAACGATTGTCTTTTGGTTATGTCGTACACCAGCATGGCCCCTAATGCACCTCTGTAGTATGCACTTGTTACAGCTCTGTACCTACACCAATAACAAAATTTACATGTATATCTTATGTTAAATTTGTGACAATTTATCTGCACCAAAATGATCAAGTATTATCAGTAATAGTTTAACAATAAGTTATATGTTGGAGTGACTAGTGTGAATGTATGAAGCCACATTAGATAGAAATCATCAAGTTAAGTAACATGTAAGCCAAAATGACATCTTTTAAAGTTGAGTTGGATGAATCATTAGAATCGATTTAGTGATAAGAGTCTTACATTTGTACCTTGTTGTCATTATTATAATTCTTCCGGATAAAAAAAAAAAAAAAGTTAAGTTGGATACTTAGATGTGGGTTAAGTTTACTCGTGTAGTTTGGTCATAACTTCACATTCCCTAACATGTTACTTTATCATTAAATCAGAGTTTGCAATTTTGAATTCATAGGATTCTGGTGAACTTTTTCAAATCTGGGCATGTTCTATGTATGTAGAATATGACAATGTGGACGGGCTTAGATGTTTAGCAGCATTACAGTCTCCCGAAACTGTTAACTGTCTCATTCCAACTCCTATATATAGAACATTAATGTGACTTTTGGAGCCTAAACAAAGAAAATGGAATAAATACCTATAAAACAAAAGTCAAAATCATGTCCTTCTTGGCCATGGATGTTGCCCAAGTCAAATTTACATCGCATTGAATAATATAATAAGTAATAACCTTTGAATGGAGGCACCATCATTGAAACTCAATGTATATCCACCCTTTAGTTCAAGGGAATGACAAGAAAAGTAGACAAAGAATTAAACACAAGCATGAATGAGAGAGAGAGAGAATGTGATGCACCTTTCTTGGCCAGCAGTGTCCCAGATCTGAGCCTTGATGACTTTGCCATTAATAGTGACAGTCCTAGTCTGAAATTCAACTCCAATGGTGGACTTTGAGTCAAAGCAGAACTCATTCTTTGCAAACCTCGAGAGAATTTGAGTCTTTCCAACTGCTGAGTCCCCTATGACCACCACCTTGAACACATAATCGGTTTTCTCCTGAACATCATAATCTATTTTCTCAGCATCAACCCCATTCATTTCCTGGTTCATTTTGTTCCCAATACAAGGAAAGAACTTGACAAAGAATTGGTCAATATGGTTGGTACCTTGGCCTTATTCTTCCCCAGCAAATTAATATAAAACTTGGACTTGGTATAAACTAATGGTCTTAGGGGTGAGTAGAAGCAAGAAAAGGAACAGGGAATTTAGTTGAAAATTTATGAACAGGACAAAATCAATGTTGAATCACTAGTGGCAAAAGTATAGGCAAGAAAAGGGGGTCCAGTTCTGTGTCTCACTTTTAATATTATGATGCACTATTATTGTACTTTATTGCGGGGATGCCTTCTGCTGCTGATACATCAAGAGATTTAATTTAGCATATGGTGATAGCCGTAAAGGAAAACAGGAATATAAATTAATCAAAAATCAACCAAAAACTAAAATGTTATGGTGGTTTGCCTCAGGTTAAGGGAACCTGAAATCATGAATTTTTGAATGGTTCAAGTGTCTACTATTTCAGATCACTTTGGTCTTAATTTAAGGCGCAATCCAAGGGTACATGACTCTTCTTTCCATGATTTTCCCCCTTTTTTCATTTGCTCTATTGCTTTCATCTAATATAATGATTTGTGTCTAGCAAATGGTCATCTAAGATTGTGGTGATGATTCAATGGTTTCTTAAAATAGTTTTTTTTTTCATCAGAAGAAGAAAAAAAAAAGTAGGGTGGCCTTGAACATTGGGGGATCCCCTAGTGTTGATACAATGAAGAAACAATTCGGGAAAATCCCAAAAATCAAGCTGAAATGTAACACGGTCCAACTTTTTTTTTTCCCTCCTAATTATTTAATTGAATTATATAAAATATCCACAAAATAAATGAAAGATGTATCTTTATTATTTTGGGGAAAATGACAAAAACAAAATTAGGAAAAGTAAAATGACTCTCAAATAATATTATTTTCTATAATTTTTTTTTGTCAAAAGATATAATTCATATAATATCTCAAATTGATAATTAAAAATTAATTTACCCTCATATAACTTGCATTGATGAAATATTGTTGTCTATATTCTTAACAAAAGAATATCCTTTTTTCTATATATATTATTGATAAAGGTATATTATTAATAAAGGTATATTTCTTGTAACTTCTTTCAATCCACTTTTTCTCTCTTGTCATTTTTTTTATTAAGTTTTATTTTCTGTCTTTTGTATTTTGTAAATTCATTTTCCAAAGTTCTCACAATCTCTAATTAATCACCCACTCTATCTCTCTCTTTTATTTTTTAAAAATACTGGAGCATGAAGTGTAATCTCTAATTAATCACCCACTTTATCTCTCAATTTTTTTTTAAAAAAAAATATAGGAGCATGAAGTGTGTTTCTTTCTCCCTAATATTTTATAACTTAAGCATATCAAAATGATTCATCTCAATGTAATCAGTTAAATGAGTTGAATTGGTTCTAACTATTTAAAATATTTTTAAAATAAATTCAACTCAATTCAATCTATCATTTGACTGTGTTGATTTTTTTTTTCAAAACTTTTATTTATTGTCACCAATAAAAATTTATAATTGTAGATTTATTGATGTTAGTGAACTAAAATATTAATGTTTCGATAAATTGAAGTTGAATCTAGTGAAAAAAATAGTTTTTCATAATGTGGTGAACTAAAGTTCAAATATCTGCCCGAAGAAGTAATCATATTTAATATTTGATTGTGTTATAATTGTCTGTTTTTTAATATATATATATATATATATATATATATATATATATATA